TAATCATAAAATACCAGTAAATATACAAGTACAAAGTTGCAATTGTTGTTTACCTGTTGGAGGAATCATCAGGATGTGTCTTAATAAAAAGAGAGAGAGAAAGAGGAGGAGGAAAGCAATAAAAGACAGAGCTGCTGGCAGTTTAAATGTCTTCTCTCCTGATGTAGTACTGCCTGACTTGCTGTCTACTGCAGCTTTGAATGAGTGAGAGTGGCAGCCATTAGCTGGTCTACTAGAGGCAGCTTGACACTAGTGCCACAGTCCAATACTTGCTCTCCATTGAGAGACATCAATCATCTTGTAATTATATAATAATTATTATTATAAATGACGTTACAGACAAATAGTTCATTTATCTAGTGACTAGTTGTTAAGAGTATCAGTACATATATAGTTATTGGTACCACTTCTCTACATACCCAAGAGTTTTCTTGCCTGAATTAGCAATGAATGAATCAAGTCTGACATCAGTATTGGTACAATCCTGACAGGCATTGCTGGTCATGACTGTTGCTCTGGCCTAAACTATAGACTAAGTATAGTACTAGTCTATTTATCATAATTGTGTCATGCCTGATTCACGATTGTATTGTGACTGAGTGCCAAAAATCTATGATTCAGACTGATATCAGGACTGCGGATCCAGACTAGAATTCATTTTTATTCAGGTTTCAACTTTCATGTGTCTACTACAGTTAATATTCTGACTACTGACCGTATTTTGACTAAATTTGGTCATTTTGTAGTTGCTTGGGCACTTATATAAACTGAGAAGTGATAGAATGTGCTGCTGTTAATGTAATACCGTATACGTCCAAATTTTCGAGGGTTCAAAATTTCGTGTTTTCAATGAAATTTGCTCAAAAGTTAATATTCGTGTGAGCTAATTTTCGTGTTCTGGCCATAGTCTACATACAATAGAATGGCATTAGAGGTGTTTTAAATTTCGTGGATTTAAGGTGAGCACGAAAATAACGAAATTTAATACACCTCGAAAATTAAGACGCGTACGGTAATAATAATAAACAACTAAAATTACCATTATAGTTGCAAATTATGAAAAGCTTTGTAATAATTTAATCATCAATCAAAACAATGAGTATTCCAATGGATTTAATAAGAAACCCAGAGGTTTACTATGAGAGCCCGAGGGGTTTACTATGAGAACCTGGGGGGTTTACTATGAAATCTCAGGGAGTTTTTAAGTGATATAAAACACCTTTAATGGTGCAATCTGATTGGTCAATTACATGTATGTATATGATATAAAATAGTTATTGGACTCACCTCGTAGGCAAATATTAAGTATTGGTTTGTCCTGCATAATGAGCTTTTTTAAAAACTTTTTTAATTAAAAAAATGAGTCCTTTAGGCTTATAAATTACTCTCCATAGCTAGTCCAAGCCTTCATTATCAGTTAAAAATGTTTAAAGAGCAGCGCTAGGGAGAAGCTTGCAAGTAATGAAGATAATTTTTTAAATGTAGCAATTTAGCTCATTCTTTTGATGCATGGTTAGACTATATTTTGTTGTTTGTTATTCTTAGCATAATTATAGTCATAATTATTCCACTTGTCTATTCTATTCTAATTATTTAATCAAAAAGTCACTTCTTAGTCTATGGCTAGAGTCGAATTAGTCAGGAGAGCCTGACCCTCGTGAAAGAGGAAGGTCATGACCAAATAAACCAACCCAGCACTCTTTTGTTTCACAGCACAGATTTGTATAGACGCATCATGAGTCAAATTTAAAATGGTACCATTTGATGGTATGCTCCTTAGTACTTTACCCTATTCTCACATACTTTAATGGAACTCTAATTGGTTGACCTGACTAATCTATTGTTTCTCTTCCTGTATTCTTCCTCTTGTTTGTCTCCCTCCTACTGTATGTCTCTCACAGGTTCATCCTCTCCTCTCTCTCTCTCTTACAGTGTCAATGAAGAATATGATTCCTGATTGATTAATTTATGTTTTTTTACTCATTTTGTGAGTTTAAGTCTTGTTGTTGATATTTGGGAGTGATATGTTGATGAGTGTTCTGTGATTTGTTGAGAGTTTGATTGCCTGTTTTTGAATTATTCTACATGTAGTTATTGATCTTAGTCAAGTTCAGAAGTTCTATTTTTGGTCAAATTTTATTTTAAGAAGTACATTAAATATCCGGGTAAGTGTTTATCACCTGTTTGCCTTATGTACATGTACATGTACATGTATGTATTAAATTCAAGGCTAAATAAAATAATGTAAAAGCTAAAAAAAGCTTTTGTAATAGGCAACAAACACAATAGATCATGCATGAAGGATACTCCACTTACATGGTACATGTACATGTATGTTATCTTTAGTCCTGACAACCTAATTAAATTTTGTACTCATGTACATGTATATACATATAAATGAACACAAAACCTATGATTTATTCTACATATATATTTTATTTGTCTTTTTTCATCATGTACATTAAATTTCTTACTTTCTCTTTCCCTCCATACACAATCCCATCCTTTCAAGTGTTGTCCTACATGTACATGCATTTGTGCTTATATCAAAATAAGATATTGTCAAAGCCTGAAATTAGAGTCAGACATTTTCTGACAATTTTGCTTAATTAGCCAATCAAATTGTGTATTGTTCTACCGTTTTGCCTGAACAAAATAATTTTAAATGATGTTCTAATTTATAATTGATTATTAAAAGAAATTTATCATAATAAGTTAATAACCAATAATTAATCATTTTTGACTGCAGGTTTTTTCACAAAGCATGCTAAGTGAGCTAAGCATGCAGCATGAGTATTATGAGCTGACAATTACTACAATACAGTGCATTGCATTTTGAACATTCAAAAAAGTCTAATTTTTATTGGAATCAGCAGTAGTCTCCTACACAACATAATTTTGTGTAAGTGTATCTGAAAAATTTCTAGCCATTTCTTACAAAATTTGGCCAAAGGCTATAATAGTCTTTGGTCGTTGGCCCAATATTTTAAAATTTAAAAATGATTGGAATCACTTCAAATTTTTATATACGCAATAAAAATTTGTATCATTTTTTAGAAAAATTATAAGAATAGAAAATTTTCTCCTAGCCATTTTTAGCAAAATTTGACCAAAGGCTATTTTTTCAAGAACTTAATTTTTAAAATGATTCAAAAAATCCAAACTTGATCAGAATTTGTTAAAATTTTCTAAGTACATTTTTGTATCAGTAAAATTTATAAAGATGAAGAAAACTCTTCTTGTGTTTATTGTTGTAATACATGTACCCTGTACTTGTATAAGAGAATTTTTCCCAGTTTTTGAGCACCTTAACAATCCACTGACATGAAGCTGCATGAGCACTATGCTAAAATCATGTGGAAAACACTGTACGATTGTTTCCTAAAAATGGCAGATCAAATTAAACAATGTTCCTGCCTAATGGTTAACTGTTCTCTCTGAAATGAATATCCAGTTATTTCATTCTTTATCTAATCTTTAGCATTGTGAAAGAATGTACGTGTAAAATAAACACCACACACACATGCATGTACATTGTACATTACTCATTAAGTCCTCATTCCTTTAGCCCTAATTCTCCCTCCCTCCCTCCCTTACGCCTCTTCTTTTCACTATACACATGTAAAGCTTTCTTTCTCAAAATGTGTTTGTGCTATTATTGGCCTCGCCTACGCGAGGTATAGGTAGTTGTTGTGTGTGTCTGTCATTCATTCATTCTGTACAAGCGAAATTTGTCTTTAATAAACAATAACTTTAGTATAGCGTGTTCTAAGCTCCTAGATCTTTCTTTTTTGCCTGGAAAAGTCTTGCTTAACTGTTTTGTGTTGCTCAAATATCAGCGCTAGGTACAAGAAGCTTCAAAGTGAGAAAATCGAGTATGTGAGTCAAGTTCCGTTGTGTTGGCACTCTAGAGATAGCTGGTAGCATTTTCCAGTAGATTAGAACATGGCCTTCAAAAGATATGAACAGATTTCTCTAAATCTTACTTGGTGAAGAGTTACAGTTGTCCTGGTTCTTGTTTGTGAAGCGCTGGAGTGACAACCTAGTGGGCTATAGGTACTAAAGTACCTATACTATCTCAAATACATGAAGGCAACAACTTTCTGTCAGCAAGTTTATCGTATATTGCTGATTAGTAAAGAAAAAGTGAAGCTTCTTTCTCACATGGTCTTCTTGCTGCCATCATTGCAGTTGATGATGTAATGCCACACCTTTCAATCTACATGCATGGGAGGGGCTGGAGCTGCTTGCAAGTATGTGCTGCAGTGCTGCTACTTCTGCAGGTATTCAAGAGCAAGTACATGCAACTTCAGGAAGCTAGTGTTGAGCAGATTCTCTTCATGCTGATAATCAAACAGCTATTGCAGTGCGGGCATGCACCATAGCAGCATAAGAGCGAGGCCATGCACCGTAGGTGTCTCGTTGTATTTTATGTATTTTATGTATACTCTATGGAATGTCCGCATGCACATTAGTTGTAAGATTTCATTTGCTTATACCCAAAGAGTCCTGTTACAAATAGATTGCTTTGTTTAACATTTAAACTTGAATGTGCATGATGGTACTCAATCTATATTTATCCTCTTTTGTTTTATTTCTCTTTATTCAGTAGTTATCAGTTCATTTTGAAATTATTATTATTATTATTTTTATTATTATTATTATTATTATTATTATTATTATTAATTATTATTATTCTTGTTAAATGAATTGATAATAACTGTATTGTTATTCTTGTTCTGCACCTCATTCCTCACCATTATCTACATGCATCACTATGATCAAAGACTATATGTACACAGCCAAGAATTATCATTGTTAGTACTTACAGTGGTACTGCCCAGATACAGTCCTGATAGCTTATCAGGGCAGTAATCAGGCCTGATTTATTGATTTAGGGCAGTACTACATGTATGTATCAGCATCATAATTCTTGTCTGTGTACCTCAACTCCTCACCCTCTCTTTCTCTACATTATCATAAGAGTTCATTAGTACAACTTGAGCTTGATCATGATCAGAGACTAGTATGTACCTCTGTTGGTGATGTAATGTAATTTTAATTGTAATCAGAGAACAATAGAAAATAATCATAACAATCTACTATAATAATAATAACTAATATAACAATCCAGAGATATGGATCTATGAACAATCTAATATAACAGTAATAATAATTGTTTAAATCTAAAATTTTAACAGCATAGAATCACGATTTAGCTCGGCTTGGTCTTTCATTTGCTTGAATGCATCAATTTCTTTTATCTCGCTTGAAGATGGCCTGTCAGAAATAGGCTTTAACATCAGCTCCACAAGTTTTGCCTACAAAAATAGAATCACACGTTATAAAAATTTGATCATCAGTAGTTTTTTATAGACAGGTTATGTACAGTATAGCGGGAAGTTTTGAAGGGAGTTAAATATGGCAAATTACTAAAATTTGGTGATTAGCGAATTTTAAGTTGGCAAATTAGTGGCCATGTGCCATTGAGCATGCGTATAATGGTTCGAAATGGCGGCTTTTATTTTGGTGAATGGCTACCAAAATGCCAAAATTTGCCAAACTTAATTCCCTCCAAAATTTCCCGCTATACAGAATTCTATTGTGCTGTTATTACTTCATTATGAAGATTTTCTTTAAACTCCTTTGGAAGTCTTCTGTTACTCTTTATATCTTCTAAAACCTACATATAACAATAGTATGTAAACCTACGGCCAATTCATATACCCCATACTTACTTTAACCCTTTCCATTCGTGTGCTAAAAGGAAAGTAAAGTTCAAATAAAATTATTCCAAGTGAATAAACATCAGCCCTTTCATTATACTGATGACCAGCTTCCTGCTCTGGGCTGACATAAAACAAAGTTCCGATCTCACTAGTATGACTACCTTGAACATCTATTATGAAATGAAAATGATGAAGCACAGCACTATATGTATGTACATGTACCAGTTTGGGGAGCACTGTGCTTAGTAGCTGCATTTTGTTTCACCAAGCCAAAATCACCAACTTTAATGCTGTCATTCATAGCAAATAATATATTTGATGGCTAATAAATAAAGAAAATTGAAAAAAGATAAATGTAACACATTAAAGGGCGAGCCTAAGCAGGTACATGTGTATTACACATGTGTATGGTTGACATCTGCTTTCCTTGCTGATTTTGGGCAACAAATCAAAGTTGCTATTTTGCTGCCAGTAAGCTTAACACTTGCTGCCATTTAATAGTTGCCATTTATTTCACTAGCTCAGCTGCACGAGCAGTTGAGCACTAAACCAAAATCCTGTGAGAAACCCTGGTCCCTGGAATGTCATCTAGCTTGCTCAGGCTCACCTCAGTAAAATTATTAACAATAGATCATGTACCTTTAAGTCACAATGTATGTAATCTTTGTCATGCATGTATATCACTGCATCAAGAATCTAAAACAAAGTTAATACATCATTTTAGACTTTTATAATAAAAACAGACCTGTTCAAAATA